TCCTTTGGAGGGTGGCTACTTTTGTTCCCCATGGTCAATGTGTGTGTAGTAAAGTTGTCACTGCTCCAAGCTCACTCCCGTGATGGACTACAATCACATGTTTTGTTTACCAACTTGTACTGAGATTGTAGTCTAGTTACTACACACACACAGGGACCATGGGAACAAAAGTAACCACCCTCCAGTAGGAAGGACAGTGTCAGCACCAATTCAGAGACGATTTGAGGATCTACATCCAAGTGATACACAAATAAGATACATTTTTGTTAATAGTTAAGGTACTTGAATGCATTTTTAAGATTTAACTCCTGAGTTTAGTGTCACTTTAAGATGCATGAGGAGGTGATGTCAGGATATGAACATAGGAAGAAGCTATTACCAGCAGCCGTTCTGGCAAGTATTTTACTTCAGGATTGCTTTAAAAATACAATTGAAATCTTCCCCCCCGAAAGAAAAATCTATTTCTAAGCAGCTGAAATAACGGCTACCTACCTGTAAAATCTTATTTTTCTGTACAGTCATTCATTGGATTTATCAATGCTCCTACACAATATGGTTGTTTTACTTGATGCATGCCTGTGTTTTTAACAGTTAGCATAAATTGCTATTAAGTGCCTCAAACGTTGACAGAATCATCTGTAGTCAAGTGGGCTACAGTCCGCTAAAATGCAACTCTTGCTTTACCTTTTTACTTCAACACTTCTTTTATTTATCTTACTTGCCGTGTTCATGAAAGTTTTTGTCCTGCATTAGTCAGTAAATGATTGAATACAGTTATATTTAAACTCAAGCTTTTTTTGGAGGGGGCGGGTGATGTGTTAATTGTTCTTCTAATGTTACATCTGTCCCAGGGTCAGTCTATTTGGAAAGATCAATGTACGTGCAGTAAAAAAGACAAGAAAGTAATATTAAGAAATTAAAAGCATTTTTTCCAAGTTTATACACTGAGGGGAATTTATAAAAACTGGAGCAGACAGAATCTGGGGTAGTTGCCCATGGCAACCAACAAGCTTTTCTCTTCAGTTGGATTAAGATTTAAAACTGAAAGAGAGAAGCTGATTGGTTGCGATGCACAGCTGCTTCAGATTTTGTCTGATCCAGTTTTGATAAATTCCCCTCTGTATATGCTAAACCGAGGTATTTACATTTGCCTAGGAATCTTTAACTGTGTTTAAAAGGTTGGACAGTTTCTATCATTTCATTTTGAAGCATTCACTTAGTCAACCCCTAGGCAGGCACAGTAATAAGAACAGTGTGTGGGAAGCAGGTGGCTAGAAGCTTACATTGCTTTCATATTGTTCTCAGGCAGCAGTGGGATTTCCAAAACTTTGGTGTTGGAGATGATGGTCTCATGGCTTGTCGTTGAAACGGTCTTGCCAGTGATACGATGGACTTGATAGAAAGCATGAGGTCGCAGCAGGCGATCGTCTGCCGTGCCGATGAACAGCTGGAGGGTGAGTGGCTCGCTTTCCAAATACCCGTGTAGCTGGCAAGAGAACAAAAGTTTTAGGCAACAGAATAAAAGGAATAATCAGGACAGGTGCTGGGTGTTAGGCCATCATTTTGCCTGGCAATATTGGTGTAATAAAAAAGGTGTAAGTCAGAAAAATGTCTCATTATTTCAGTGACCTGAGGCATTGGAGCTAGATTTAATCTTTATATGCAGCACTGCATGTGCTTAGAACATAAAGACAATCTCCACCTCTTCTGGGATGGAGGAGGCTCAGATTTCTGGTGAATTCAGCAGTCACAAAATGCATATGTCTGACATACTCAAAGCTTAAAGTATACTGACATATGGAAAGTCTAGCTCTTCTATTACTTACAATAAAAGATTGTGAGCAGAAAATTAAAAATCAAAAGTGTAATTTCTGGGACAGCAACACATTAAATGTTAGCCACCTTTTTTAAATAAGATTTGCCTATGCAAAATGTAATATTTCCATGTCTTATATCAAGTCCTCTTGGTTTTTCTGAAGGCTAAAATGACAGTTCAGTACAGCATAATAGAAGTTACAAAAACTGGAGGAAAGAAAATATGGATTTTCCATAGAAACCAATAATATTTACGCTTTCATCTTCTAAAATACTCTAGAAAATGAGAGGTGAAATCTAATTCGCTCCCATGAATATACATTTTGGTACACTGTCGCTTCTGTTCACAAATGAAGCTAACCATAATAGCCAAAACTAGGTACTACCCAGCAGCAATGCATGGATTTCATTTACCAAACCCTGCTGTAAGTTACATCAGGAGGTCTGATACTCAAGCACCTGTAATATGGAACCTCCAGCAATGTCTTTGCTGAGCAACAACCCCAATTCATCCCACAATGCCATGTCTGTGGTCTCTCAGAAGGTTGCCGAGACCACACTCTGCTTTGTGGAAAGCATACTACATTACCTGTTTATAAAAGTAGGATACATACTGCAGGATTCTACTCCATGCAAGTTAAAGCTGAATTCTGGGCACAAAAACTTTCATTTAACTACATTTCTCATTAGTAACAAAGGATATAAATCCACTTTGTGTACACAAATTGCCTTTAAAATCCAGATATTACCTTTTAAAAGTAGCAATAGCACGACTGTGTTCCATTTAGCCTGTACAGAGAGCAGCTGGTCCTCCCACTACAGGCTGCCTGCAGAATACTGCAGGAGGGGGCGGAAACAAGACCAGTCACCCTCCACAAAGCTCAGGGAGCAGCAGTGACTGTTAATTACACTGCTAGTGTGATGACTCGCTGCCCGGCTTCCTGATACCGGAAGCTCAAGTATCGGGCTAGGCATCGGAGCATTTTGACGAGTACTCGCCCAAATACTCGGTATCAGTGGCCCAAATACTCGGTATCAGTGCAACCCGGTCGAGAACTGAGTGATCCCAAACCGCTGATCACTTAGCTCACAGTCTTTTCCCTGCAGAGAGTGGGGACTATCAGTCATGGCTCCCCGCAGGTATACCTGCCTCCCCTCTCTGTTCCTTCAGCAATCATTGAAGGATTGGACTGCAGAGGGGTGGGCACAGCTGCCTCTGCCTCGAGACAGGCAGAGCCAGTTGTCAATCAGGTAGCGGGGAGGATTGTCAGGATCTTTCCTGGCTGCAGCGTGGCTCTGGGCTGTCAGAAAATAGCAGGAAGTGGCCAACTAGATGCTGACTTTGGGTCACAGAGTACAATATTAAATAAACTTACTCCTTTGACCCAAAAGAGGACAAAAGCAAAAAAAAAAACCAGAAGGTTTGGCTTAAGGCGACAGCATTTTAACGCGCGTTTTTGATGCATGTTTTTTGCACGTTTTTGTGAGCAGATTGTGGCTCATTGATGTTAATGAGCAAACGCGCATAACAAAGCTCAAAAACACAGCAGACAGAATCTGGAGTAGTTGTCCATGGCAGCCAATCAGCTTTTCTCTTCAGTTTGTTTAGTTAAGATTTGAAAATGAAAGAGAGAAGCTGATTGGTTGCCATGTACAACTGCTCCAGTTTTGATAAACTCCCCTCTGTATATGCTAAACCGAGGTATTTACATTTGCCTAGGAATCTTGAACTGTGTTTAAAAGGTTGGACAGTTTCATAAAAACGCTCAAAAACACAGAAAAAGAAGCGTTTCCTATTGAGTCTATGGTGCCAATACTCCAAAAAAAAAAGTTCCTGTACTTTTTCCAGCGACAGGCATTTTGCTTATTGTGACAAAACGCTCAGATGTGAACAGGGGCATAGAAATGAATGGGATTTTTGGAGGGGCATGTTTTTTGAGCGTTTTTTTAGGGCAGAAAAAGCGCTACAGTAAGTTTAGCGTTATCAACCACTAGTTACAAAAACAAAAAACTATTTTATAATAAAAGGTACTGCATGTGCCAAGAAAGAATGTATTATAATCTGTCTAAATGTGTCCCAATTATAAATAAACATTTTCTGAACTTTCTAGAATAGTTTAGAATAGTCACAGCAAACTATATTATTTTACACAAGACTGAAGCTACATTTCTGCTCTGAGCGCTGATCTTATTTTTTTTCCCCAGATCCTTGTGGAAAATGGGACAACAGTTGGGCGGATTTACAGACTCAACCACAATATCAGCAAAGGATGTAGTTTTGCTCTCCTAAGAGATTAATTTGTGTCTCCCTAAAGGAAAAGCCTTTTCTACCATGGCAGGGCGTTTTCCAACTATGCAAGGATGTGCAGATGAACAGGTATGTTTGTTTTGATTAGAAATAACAGTGCTGAAAAAAACAAAAAAAAGTCTGCGTTGAGATCTTTAAAAGGCCTTAACTGTAATATAGAGGTCATTTAAAGATTTTATTATGCTTCCATAAGCAGCAATCAGCACTGGATTTCTGCACAGTCAACACAGGCCATGGTCTAGGCAGGACGGGGAGAGGAGGCAAACATCACACACGTTGCGATCAGTAACACATTTCCGTGTATTATCAAAGATTCCAGACTGCTAGTGGGTCTTCACAGTTGCATAGTTTGTGCATTGCTGTTGGTGGAACAATGTATGGTAAACTTAAGGTGGCCATACACTGTACAACCATCGCAAGACCTTCGTCTTGTTATGGTTGTAAAGTGATTAAAAAAAAAACGTACGATCTGCCCATCTTGGACAGGCAGATCGTACTCTCGATCATCGCAAGCCCGCCCCCCTGAGGGGCAGGCTGACGATGACTGCAATGAGGGGCGGGCTTACGATGACTGCAAACGGGCTGTGTGCGCGTGCGCACACCGGCCCGTTCGGCAGTTGTCGAACCAGCAGGCCACTAACTCGCCGAGAATCGTACGATTCCCGGCGGGTTTTCTAGCCTGCTTGTTCGACGGAAGACGTGCGACCCTACAGCAGAAACGGTTTCACGCCTTCCATACACTGCACGATTCTCGTACGATCACGGGATTTCCCGCGATTCTCGTACGAGAATCGTGCAGTGTATGGGCACCTTTATAGTTTACTTGCTCAAGGTCCATACACCAAGAACTGAACTGCTAACAGAGTAAGCTGACAGTTTGCCCTAATCTTCTACTGTACTTATACTGACGCGGGGTAAGCAAACTGTACGTATGCTAGCTGCATTTAAAAAATAAAGTCAAACATTGTTTAATGCAGTAGTTCTCAACCTGTGTAACCTCTGGACCCACATTTGTACTTGGTCATTAAGTCGTGACCCAAGTTGCAGTGTGCACACACACTCAACGGAGCCAGAATGTGACATCAGTCCAGTCAAGGCACCTCTACAGGGTACATGTGGGAGCTGTAAGCAATGCGCATATGGATGGAGCTCCCTTATGGCCATAATTCCAGCCCACCTCAAGCTGACATGCAGGACTGGGCAGCATATTTTGAATGGAAACACGAGAACTGATGGTGCTGCGCTGGGGGGGGGTAAAAGTGAAAGTCATGTGGCGACTCTTGGGTCACGACCTGAAAACCAAGGGTCTAATGCTCTAATGCATTCATGACTATACATGACTGTTAATTGGTGTTCATTCACATCTACCTGGAGTTCAATTGCTCTTTCTTCTCTATCAATTGGAATGCAGAGCAAACACATGGCAACAATTTAACATCTAAAAAAAAAAAGTAATATTTCTATGAAAGCACCTAAAACTGCACTTTTCCATGGTGGCTTTTGAATTGCTTCCCCCATGCGCATAAGTAAATTAGTAACTCTTCGGTGCAGTCATACCCTTATGATTTGCGAGTGGTATCTATCTGAGCCGAAATCAAATTGTTCTCTGCACCGTGTCATTCAAATACGGCATCCTTTTCTTTGCAAATGTGATGGGAAAATTGTAAATAAAGTAAACGTGAGGCATAACAGGAAATTTTAAATGTGCCATAACAAATATGTGGCAAGCAGGCACTTCTGCTTAAAGTGTAATTGTTTTTTGTGTGGACTGCCATGCAGCTTCATGTGTGAGATAGTTAAATAGGAACAAAATACTACATATTGTTAGTACTAGCTGGCATGAAGAATGTTTCAGTAATATCGCTATTGAACACACACATTTTTTTAAAATCTGCATTTAAAAGGTTATTACATCTACATTTTAAAAACTGAAGAATTTAAGAAGCATGCTTTACGTTTTCATGCATCAGTATGCATCTTTCAAACTTTCTGATTTGAATACAAGCTGCACATGACAGGTCAAATATGACTAAAATCAATCCAATTCAATACCTTTTTTGTAATGCCTCCAACTGCTGCAGACTGGCAGTTGATGCACATGGAAGTAAGGTGACTAACTTGGACCACAGCAATCCTAAATCAGAGAAACTTGCCAAAACATTAAAATGACAAGAAGAAAAGAAGCAGCCAATCAGAACCATATAATGGTAAATGGCAGCTGGTTTCTGACTGGCTGCTGTGGCCAACACCTTCCCTACCTCTTGGATCTGAAGGAGAAAAAAATATTTTATATATGAAGTGTTTTTAATGTCAATAGTTCTGAAGCCCGCACAAAAAAGTACAATGCTATAATTTGCTTCTTC